ATGTTAACTCCACTCAGGAACTGGGCTGCACGTCGCCCGCACGCCGCCTGCACGATATTGTGCACAGGCTGGAATCTCCCGGGCTTTGGAGAGCTTCGGCTGGTTTAATTGGAAGCGTTGCTGTTTGGGGTTTCTATCACATTCTGCAGAATGTGTCTCCCCCTGGTTCCAGCCTCGCCTTCATCTTCCTATGGCAATGGCATAAATAATGCAGAGGTTTGCTGCTGGGAAGCAGGAATAAGACCCAGATGTCAGGAATGGAAAACACAGCGGCTTAAAGCTGGCAAATCGGAGCCGTAAACACACTCAGGATAAGTGAGCCATGGGAGGGGAGGAGCAGCTGAGGTAGGTGTGGCTTGAGATGAGAGTGCTAACCTCTGAAACCAGGGGCCAATTCACTTGCAGAGGAACCAGCATAGGACCGAGGGAGGGAGAGGACCGCAGGGGAGGCCTATGAACTGCATAGCAATGTGGTTGTGATCAGCCTCTTCGCTGAGCAAGAAAAGATGAAACTCACGTTTGCATGAATTAAATTAACCTTGCAGTTTAGCCCAGACAAGAATGGATTGGAAAAGTTCCTAGGGAGATGTTTAATCCATCCGCACCATATACTTTGCTGATGAAGAAACTGAGGCCCAGACAGGGTGATCAGTTTAGCCAAGGGTCAGAAGTTCAAGAGTAAGCACTCCAGCTCAAATAAAATTAAATGAAACTACATAAAACCTTCACGTCTGCCTCTCTTCCCACGCTCCTCTTCGCCTTGGAGAAAAGCAGTCACTGCTTAGTCGCTTAATCCAGAGATCCAGGTAGGATTCTTAACCTCTTCTTCCCTGAGACTCTAGATCCATTTAGTCTCCTAACTTCTGTAGATACTACTTCCTTACTCTCAAAAAACTTCCTTTCTCAACACCCTTGTATCTGCTGCCTTAAGCTCGGTTCTTGCCATCTCTCTTGCCTGGTCTCAGTCCCGCCAACCTTAACGTTTGTTTCTATTCTGATGATCCACCAGGTTGCCCGTTGCTCAAACACTTTAAAGCTCCTTCACGCATCTTCAAGAAAATGTCTTCTTACGCCCTACAGTGGCATATAAGCTCATTAATCATTCTCCGTGGCCCACTGCTAGGCATACCTGATGTGTCTGCCTTTTACTCTACGCTCTTGTGCTCTTATTCTAAATTATTGCAATTCCTCAAACCCATAGGCCCTTCTTCCCAATTTTCTATTTGCTTCTATGGTTTTTACTCAGTAAGATTCATCTCACATATAACCTGCCTTGGTAACCCCAGAAACACCACATTGCACACCTTTAGGCCTGCTATTCATTTGGAGAGCAATGTAAATGCTGCCCCCTAGAGGTGTGCAGCATGCCCTTATTTGGGTTCCTGTACTTACCTCTACCTCAGCTCTTTTCTTGCTGTGTTACAATGGCCTGTTGGTTTCTGAGAGGCACAATAGTGAAAAGTGTTTTAAAACATTGCCTCTGGGTTAGGGCAAATTGGGGTTTTAAAAATCTTCTTAATAACAGTGCAAACGTGGGCAAGTTACTTATTTTATTTGAAATTCAGCATTCTCAGCTGAAAAACGGTCATAATAATAGTACCTACTTCATTGCGAGATGATCTGTATTATGATTCAGCATAGTACCTGGAGTCTCCAATAAATTAACCATTGTAGCTATTATTGTTGTTATGGAGAGCAGTACTGTGTTGTATTAAAATTTTAGTTCCTCCTGCCATACAGGAGGCACTTAGTTAATATTTGTTGTATCAAATGATTAAGAAGCAAGCTACACCTGTGGATACTAGAGTGTCCTAATTGGCCCTCTTTCCTACTTAGCTGGCAGAGAATTTTACTGAGAGAAGTATAAGTATAAAGACTTTCAGTAGAAAGAAAAGGCTTCCACAACTGAAACAACGCGATGATTGTCTTGTAATTGCCCCCTGCAATTTGGAGGAATACATGTTTCTTATAATTAAGAGGAATTTATTTTTAGGGACATCATCTGAGCAACAAGCAGAATGATGTCTCCATTTTCTTCATTCGGAATCTGCAGAGGCTCCGAGAACTCCCAGGGCTTGGCCGTGCTCCTTCCTGCAGGTGAATAGGTCTATAATTTGTCATTTACCTCAGCTTTCAGAGTTTGTGAGAATCAGAAGTAAAAAGAAAAACGGCGTCCTTTTCTCTAGTTGAATTCAGCATTTAAGGAGCGCCTGTCACCAGGTAGGCATCCCTTCTGGCTTCCTCGGGAAATCTGTTGCTAAGACACTGTCTTAATTTGTTTGCACACTTTTCATAAGCACAGTGGCTGTTTATTCACAGAGAGAAACTGAGGTGTAAGAGGCAAAGGCAGGGAGAAATCACATCAGCAAAGGATTAGACCTCGAATAATTATTTTATTGGTTCCTCTAGAGGAGAGTTTCTTTTTCTTTTAAGTGGCCAGCACAATAGCATCACCTGGGGACAGCTTAGAAATGCACATTTGGGGGCCTCACCCAGACTTACTTGAATCACAGCATTGCTGGGGTGTGGCTCAGCATCTGTTTTAACAAACTCTCCAGGTTGCTCTGATGCTTGTTAATATTGGGGATCCACTGCTCCCAAGTCGAGAATAGAACAGAACGTCATTGGAGCCTCGCAGGTCAGTTGGAATAGGAACTGAGGAGACTAGTTTTGAGCAGCTGGGAAATCCTGTGATAGTCTCTCTTGGGGCAGGTGCCTTGAAAGAGAATGCTGATCTGCTTGAAGACTCATATTGCCTCCAGATCTCATACCTAAAATTAAATAGCAGTCTAATCTTGGGTGGTAACTGCACACTATGAGCCAGGGAGAAATAGCTGCACACAGAAAGAATTACAAGATGTTGGTAATATATGTCGCCAGAAACCTGGGAAACCCGTGGGAGTGGATTCTGAGGGTGCTATACTGTACTGGTAAGGGCAGAACCCAACGCTGGGTTGGGCTAACTTCACCGATGTGAGTGTGTGATCCAAGAGCCTGGATTTACTCTGCTAGCCTGATCTAACACCTTCACTGCTAGCTTGACTGAACCTTGTGCTCAACTGTGGCCCATGTTTAGTGAAGTCCAGATGCCAGAGCTGCCCTGGCCTGAGGTGGGTGAGAATATGCAAATTGTGGGGAAATAGACACTGGATTTATTGTGTGAGTCTTGCAAACCCCTCTCTCAACTGTGAGAAGCACTCCCTGCACTAAGCAGTGAGACGTACCTTAGTGAGGGGAGAGTCTTCATCCTTGGAAAATATGTAGCCGCTCTCTTTTGAAAGCCAGGTTTATAGGGGATGCTACCACCAAGGTAAGGGGGGGGGGTCTTTGATTTTGATGGAAATTATGAAATTCCAGAGTAGCAGAGGCCAAGTGGTAATACTTGAGGTTATTGGGGAGATGGTTGTTTCATCCAACCATTGTATGTAGGTGAGAAGAGGGCAGGTGACTTGCCTTTGTGGTGATCAGGAAGAAGCTCATGTAGAATATGGAGACTATAATGGAATCTCAGGCTAAGACTCTGGTACTGAGATGGAATAGGTTATTTGGGGGATTCTCATTTAGGGAGGAGGTAAGTATATTTTTTAATTTGGAAGGGCAGGAAGCAAATATTTAGACTAAAGGAACAGATTATTGTAACACTCGGCTTTTGTTCTATAATAAACCACAGAAAAAATAGAGGCTTAAAAACTGTGTTATTTCTGATGATTCTATTTTTTAAATTTATTTTTTGATCTTTTTTTTTTAATTAAAGCATAGTTGTGTACAATAATGCAATCACAGGGTTTAATGTGCTGGTTTTATATACAATTTGAAATATTTTCATCAAACTGGTTAACATGGCCTTCATGGCATTTTCTTAGTTATTGTGTTAAGACATTTATATTCTACCCCTAGTAAATTTCACTTGTACCCTTGTAAGATGCACCACAGGTGTGGTCCCACCAATTACCCTCCCTCTACCCATCCTCCCTCCTCCCCTCCCTTCCCCTTTCCCCTTCTTCTTGGTTTATATAATTGGGTTATAGCTTTCATAAGAAAGCCATAAATTGGTTTTATAGTAAGGCTGAGTACATTAAACACTTTTCTTTCCATTCTTGAGATATTTTGCTAAGAAGAATATGTTCCAGCTCCATACATGTAAACAAAACATGAAAGAGGTAAAGTCTCTATCTTTCTTTAAGGCTGCATAATATTCCATGGTGTACATATACCACAATTTATTAATCCATTCATGGGTCAATGGGCACTTGGGCTTCTTCCATGACTTAGCAATTATGAATTGGGCTGCAATAAATATTCTGGTACAAATATCTTTGTTATAATGTGATTTTTGGTCTTCTGGATATATACCTAGTAGAGGAATTGTAGGATTGAATGGCAAGTCTATTTTTAGATCTCTAAGTGTTCTCCAAACATCTTTCCAAATCTGATGATTCTAAATGAGAATCATGCAGGGCATTTGGGCGATTCCTCTCATCTGCCCCAGGTTGGTCAGGGCTGGATGGTTTAAGAGGGAGGCATTCACATGTCTAGTAGTTGGCTTTGATACCTGCTAGGTCACAAGGAATGACTTTACAGAGTCTCATCATCCAGCAGGTGAGCCTGTGCTTGTCACACAGCAGCTGCTGCACAGTTCCCAGGAACAGCCAGACAACACACCAACCCCTTTATAATCTTCAGCTTGCATCATATCTGCTCATTCTTATTGGCCAAAATATGTCACATGACTTCAGTCCAGATGCAAGGAGGGAAGAAATATACTTTAGCTACTGATGAAGACAGAACATAGTTCACTGGAAAGGGGCATGCATAAAAGGATGGGAAGTCTGTGGTCGTGTTTCTGTTGTCATGCCAGAGTCATCAGTAATCTTTGATCTTTACATGGCGGGTCCTGCTAACTGAACAGTTTCTCTATCTGAGAAAGCTGACACTTTAAACATTTCAGAGAGGGATGGATGGGACCTGGATTTATTTTCTCCTTTGATTGGCTCTTGTAGGTCTTCTGTGATTTCCATGGCCACTCCCAAAAGAAAAACGTGTTCCTTTATGGCTGTAGCATCAAGGAGACCTTGTGGCAAGCAGAGTGCACCGTGGGCACATCTACTCTTTTGGAGGATGTCAGCTACCGGGTGAGTCCCTGGGAAAGAGTGACACCCAAATGCCGGGCTCAGAGTCCTAACTTTGAGATCTCTGCCCCACCACTGGGGGAGTCAATACACATTTTGGTGATTTTAACTGTAGGGTTTTCCTGCAAGCAGGCTGGTGGCATTGGTAACCTCTCCACATTTTTGTTGAATGATGTCTTCCTACCTCGTTGCTTTGCTTTTTTTTCCCTATATGACGTGATGTAGTATAAAAGGCATGAAAATAAAAGACAGAAAACATCTCATTAATGCCTCGCTTTATTGTTAATAGCTGTGTGACTGTAGGTCATGGACATTACCTCTCTGGGCTCCTACTTAATATCTTGTAAAGCAAGAAGAGTGAAAACACTACCTCTGTCACACTGTTTATAGGAGGAACAAAATGATGTGAAGTACAAGTGGCCTAAATAAACGTGAAGGGATGGACAAATCCAAGCCATTGCAACATCCGCATCCCTCTGTATGAGCATTTTATAAAAAGCAGAGCATTAATCCAGGGAACCTTACCCTATTTTACCTGAGTTCCAGCAGTCAGAGCTCTACTCTTCCTGTGCAGAAACTACATAGGAAATAAAGAAAAATAAAGAATGGAGGACGTCTTCCTGTTAGAATAAAGAAAACCAGCTGTTGCTTCCAGAGAACCAGGAAGAAGTAGAAGAGGCAACGTTGCCCAAACACAAAATAAAAACTGGCGTCTGTTTTTAGAGAAAAATTATGATGGTACCCACATCTCCCAAATCTGTTACTTGGTCCCTGTCAGCTTCCTGTGTATGAGACAGCACCATCCCCAGGGTCAAGGGTGGCATTAAATGAGGTAAAAATCTCTACACTACCCTTTTACCTGGAAATACTTCCTTGTTCTCTGAGATTTTCTCCACTTTTCTTTACCTATGTCTATCAGAAGCAGATGGCTGCTGATAGGTGAGTGCCCTTCAAGGCCTTTATAGCAGAATCAGCAGCTTATCCTCAAATTTGTTCTAAGGCTCAACCAGAGGGATGGAAATAAGCCACATGGAGCTTAACTGCTTAATCTTACTTAGGAAACTAGTTACTAAAACAAAACATTCATCTCAGCAGCTCGTGTTGACCTGCATAAGATTACCTCTTATATATGATACATCTTGAATTTTAAAAATCTTACATGACGTTATCGAATCTTAAATATAGAGTCAGTACGTTTTTTTTCTTTTTAACCATTTTTCTAAGAGAAGGTAACAATATTCATGGAAAATCTCTTATATGAAGCTGGCATGAAGTGCAGCTGAGGCCAGGCAGCATGTGGGATTATAGAATGGGTTTCCAGCCTCTGTTTCTCTGTTTTAGTGTGTGATTCATATTTTTTAATTATTATATTTAACAAATGTTTTGGGGCCCAGTGTAGTGTTAGGTAAGATGAGGCGGACCGTAACTGAGGTAGGCATGCCGCAGTTTCTGCCGATGAGAATTAGCCCAGTAGTATTTAAGAGTCATGCTATTGAAAAGATTGCTCCAACCTGGACAGTTCTATTCATCTATCTGGTCCATTAGTTTTGGGTGGGCCAGGTGTCTGAACCTCAGTTTCTTCCCTTGTGGAACAAGGAAGTTAAAATTTTTAGGTAGTTTATTAAATCAAGTTTGTTGATGTCCTAGGGTTCCTTAAAGGGAACTCATGAGGCACTATGAGATATTTGGACATAACAAAGTGGGTAAAGTTTTGACCCCATTCCTCACTTTCAACCCAGATAGCTTTGGTTTGGGGGTTCCTATATAATTAGTCATGGTATCTGCCAGGAGTCAACAACCTGAGAGGCTGATTCCTACATTCCCATCTACAATGGAATAATTCCAACTATATTGAACTCCTAAGAGGCTTTTTTTCTGTTGGTCTTGCAGCATTAGTATTAAGGAGACAACTGTGTACCCTGTTATGTTTCACATCTACTCTGTAACATTTGTTCAGTTTCTGGTTATGTTGATATAAAGAGAGCAATGAAGCTTCTCAGTAAAACACAAGTATAAGACAGTAGAAAATTGTCAAATGTACCTACTTCGGGATTCTGGACATTGACCAAATGCAGGCAACAAATTGAGAAGCATTTACTTTTCAAAATTGCTAGAGCTTCATGAGATTGGCGGGGGTCTGTGGCCTTCTAACTGGGGATGCTCCCATTTGGTCATCAAGAAATGTAGTTTTACTAAAGCAATGATGGCACCCACCCCTAGCCAGACATTTACAGAAGACATCTTGGAAATGAGAGAGACTAAATTAGAAGTTCTAAGATAAACCCATTATACATTTTTGGATTATGGGAAAATATATATCTGTGCAGGGGAGACCTGTTAGGGTGTGAAGTTGGTGCATGGGTGAGATAGATTTCTCAGATGAAGTTAAGGATAAAAGGAAACACAAAGTTTATTTTACTCCTTATCCGAAAAAAAGGAGGGCATAGCACCAGACATAGGAAATAAGAGAGGTGCTGGCTCAGGGCAGCTGACAACTGGTAGGGGAAAATTTATGATCGTAGCCCAATTAATGGAATACAGCTGGGGAACTGCTGAGTTTATCCTTTTTTTTTTTTTGAGACAGAGTCTCACTATGTCATCCACAGTAGAGTGTTACAGAGTCACAGCTCACAGCAGCCTCAAACTCTTGGGCTTAAACGATTCTCTTGCCTCAGCCTCCCAAGTAGCTGGGACTACAGGCACCTGCCACAATGCCCAGCTATTTTTTTGTTGTTGTTGTAGTTATCATTGTTGTTTAACAGGCCTGGGCCAGGTTCGAACCTGCCAGCCCTGGTGTCTGTGGCTGGCACCTTAACCACTGAGCTATAGGCACCAAGTCAGTGTGTTTGTTTCTGTTTTCTGATAGCAGGTTGATAACAGGAATTAGGTTCTTCTTTCTTAGCTATAGATTTAGAGCAGGAGACCTCTGGTGCTATCTCTCCTTGAGGAAGCTGGGAAAACTTCCACCCTTGCTGCCAGCTCAGGAGCAGAATCAAGAGCCCAGAAAGAGACCCACATAACGTTGTCAATTGATCTTAGACAAAGGAGCAAAGGCAGTACAATGGAACAAAGATAGTATTCTCAGCAAATAGTGCTGGATATGCCAAAAAATGTAGAAATTAGACACAGACCTTATACCCTTCACAAAGATTAACTTCAAATGGATTATAGACTACAAAACTAGAAGATAATATAGAAGAAAATCTAGATGACCTTGCGCTTGTCAATGGCTTTTTGAATGACACCTAAAGCATGATATATGAAATAAAAAAAACTGACAAGCTTTATTGAAATTCCAAATTTTCTGCTCTGCAAAATGACACTGTTAAGAGAATAAGAAGATGAGCCACAGACTGAAGGGAAATATTTGCAAAAGACATGTATTAAAGGCCTGTTACCTATAACAACAGAGATTATATAAGAACTCAGAGTTTTTTTAAAAAAACACAAAAACTCAATAATAAGACAACATATGATCTAATCAAAAAATGGGCCAAAGAGCTTAAAAAGTACCTCGCCATGATCCAAATCATGAAATTAATGCATGAAAAGATGTTCCACATCATACATAATCAGAGAAATACAGATTTAAACAACAATGTGCTGTAATTACATACCTATTAGAATAGGCAAAGTCCAGAACACCAACAGCATCAAATTCTGGCCAGGATGTGGAGCGACTGTAGTGCTCATTTGTCGGTAGGAATGCAAAATGATATAGGCACTTTGGAAAATAGTTTGGTGATTTCTTACAAAATTAAACATGTTCTTAATCACGGAAGCCCGTATTCTCTCACTCTTTAATATTTACCTAAAGGAACTGAAAACTTATTTCCACACCCAGAAAGCCCTGCACACAGATGTTTATAGCAGCTTTATTTGTAATTGCCAAAAATTGAGAGACAATAAGGACAATGAAAACATCCTTGATGTGATGTGAGTGAATGAATAAACCAATGGTGGCATAGCTAGACAATGAAATATTATTCAGCTCTAAAAAGAAATAAAAAGCCAGGAAAACACATAGGGGGACCTGAAATTGATATCGCTACATACAGGATGCCAATGTGAAAAGGCTATATCCTGTATGAGTCCAAATATACGGCATTCTAGAAAAAACAAAACGATGGAGGGAGTAAATATGAAAAGATCAGTGGTTACCAGGAGTTTGGGGGGAAAGAAAGGGGGAAAAAGGTGTATACATGGGGATAGCACGTGGAGCCTGTAGGGTAGTGAAATCGTTCTGTGTGATACTGTAATGTTTGATACATGTCACTTACACATTTGTCCAAACCCATAGGATGTGCACAACTAAGAGTGAACCCTAAAGTAAACTACGGATTTTAGAGAAGGATGGATGGTATGCCGATGCAGGCACATCAGTTGCAGCCAGTGTGCCACTGATGGGGGGCATTGATAATGGGAGAGACCATTCCATACTCCCCTATGCTCCATGTATAAGAACGTGGGGTATCTATGGAAGACCTCTGTACCTTCCACTCAATTTTGCCGTTGAACCTAACATTGTTCTAATACAGTCTTTGTTCTATATTAAGAAGATACAAATTACAAAAGAAAAAACAAATTCACTTAAGCAAAAAAAGAGAGAGAGAGAGATCATTTAAATGTGAGAGTAAACCTTTTGCAACAGAATAAAACATGGACATATTAAAACTATCCTCAAGTATTCTCAATCACTTCAGTTGCAGTACATATAAATAGTGTGGGCATGTCTATTTAAGCAATCCCCTCAGGGTTTGGACTAGCAGATTCTATTTATTTTGGCAGATAATGATGTAGTGCCCTCTATGAATGACACACTTCTCAATGTGCAGAGATTTTCCAAAATGAGCAAGACTCAGGTCTGCCCTCATGGAACTTCTAGGTGGCCAAGGAAATCCAAGATAAACAACTAATATATACACAATAATTGCCATTGCAATGAACATTTTGAAGGAAAATAAATGGGGTGAGGAGTTACAGGGAGGGAGGGAGAAGAGTGGATATGAAGAAATCAATTAGGATTTCACTGAGGCAACTGCAGAAACACACATGAGAACAATACTCGCATTTCATTTTCCTTTTTCAAATGATCTGTAGGTCTCGAGGCTATGTGGAAACTTAGAGATCATAGTAAGTTATATTAATGATTATGTTAATCTATACTTATATAATTAACATCATATTATTCATTACAATATATCATTATTATGTTGTTAATAATTAACAATAGTTAATTAACAGTTACGTTGAACATGAAGAAAGTAAGTACCAAGGAGATTAACGGATTTGTTTAAAAATATTTTTTTCTTTCATATTCTCATCGTTATGCTTTTCTACCTTCTTTCCATAATTTGCCTAAAGCCTCACTGTTTGTCACCTAATGTAAGTAATTGTATATTGTGTGTTAGTTGTGCATATTCTGTCAACACTGAAGTGAGAAAATCCTTCTTGTCCTGGACTAAGTGCAGTAGTTCTGTTGACCTAAGGACTATTGGCTCTGAGTCCTCATCCTCTGGGGAGGAGGCCCAGTGGCCAGAGCCTCCTCTCTGTCAATCAGAGGGACAAGAGTCTACAGATGTCTTCTAAATGGATATTAAGTGGTTATAAATAAAATATTTTTACCCCAGGAAAAGGTGGGATATTTGAACTCAGAGAGGATGGATTTAGGAGTATTATAATTCTTTCAGCATCAGATTTATGGCTGAAAGGATGAGACTAACACACTCATTTTAGCAATTATATACTGGTAGGAAACAAGTGAACTTTATATGAGCTCCTGCTTAAGAATCATCACCGGCCCCTCTGACCTTCTGTTTCTTCTGCTAAGAAACAGTGACACTGACTGGAGTCACTCTTTAAATTTCAGTCCCTGTGAAATCTGTGGCTTTTCATAGGCTCAGCTCCTCAGTGTATTGGACAGTGTGTGCACACATAGTACAGGTCCACAGCAATGCGGACAAGTGGACTTGGAGATCATGGTCGTAGGTGTTGGCCAGGCTGGCATTCGGATCCCTTTCGGGCCACTTTATAGTTGTGGGAACTAAGCTATTTATTTCTAACTTTTCTTTCTTTCTTTCCTTCTTTTCTTTTTTTTCTTTCTTTTCTTTCTTTTCTTTCTTTCTTCAGTTTTTGGGCTTCAGTTTAGGGCTGGGTTTGAACCTGCCACCTCTGGCATACGGGGCCGGCGCCCTACTTCTTTGAGCCACAGGCACCGCCCTTTATTTCTAACTTTTCTAAGCCTCAGTTTCCTCATCTGAAAAGTCATATAAAAAATTGGCATCCATTTTCTAGAGTGAATAAATGATTCCCAGTAGCATATATTAAGTCTTTGATATATAGCGATGCGTAATAAATATTGAGAAGCCATTTGTATGATGGTGGATATTTTCCAGTCACTGGCAACTCATTGTTTGGTTTCTTTTTATCATAGACTCTTCCCAAAATCCTTGACAAGCTAGCGCCGGCATTCACGATGAGCAGCTGCAGTTTCCTCGTGGAGAGATCCCGAGCCTCCACGGCCCGGGTGGTGGTGTGGAGAGAGATAGGGGTGTCCAGAAGCTACACCATGGAAAGCAGCTACTGTGGCTGCAACCGGGGCCCCTACAAGGTACGTGAAGCTGCGGGACACCCATCTGTTTTATTCAGCATCTATACTCAGGGGCGGGAAGCAGTAATAGACTCTCATTCCTGCTCTCTCACCTGAAAGGAGGAGAAGGCTCCAAGTAGAGTCTGACTTTCCTACCTTGACTGGAAGAAGAATTGGTTCACTCATTGCCTTCACCTGCAGCATCATTTGTGTTGATCCTGGGAGCAATGCATGCATGCCTTCCAATTTGGTTCCGTAGTCAGCTGCCCTCCCCAGCAAGCAGTGGGAAGCCTCCCTTTGATGTGCAACTCCAACTTTTACAGAATCTCTGCCTGCCGGGGGCTCTGTTCTGTACACAATAATCTGTTGTTGCCTTTTGCAACCAGTGGGCTAGTCCCCATGCATCGTAAATGGCATAGGTAGGCCTACAGATATTGTCCATACACACATCTATTATGTTTCTCTGTCTTTGGTGCCAATCTAAATCTGTAGCTCTCTGTGCAATTCTGTTGTCTCCAGAGCACAGAAAAGACTTGTGTGCATGATGTGGGTCTCCCAGAATGGGCGGGTTTTGGACTCATATGCTAGTGTCGGGGGAAAGTGCTCTGTATAAATCACATTCTCTCTACAGCTATATTAACTGCATGAGCAGCTGGATAGCTGCTATAGCAGGCTGCTCTGGCTGCTCTTCCCACTCCCCCATAGAGGAGCATAAATAAGGGACACTTTGACAGTGCCAGAGTAATAGACTCTTGTAAATTTCTTAGGCAAGCTGACAGGCTACTCCTTGGTGACTTCCATGAAACCCCAAGAATACCTGGACCTCACCAGTGTTAAGCTCATTGTGTTGGCTTTAATACTTTCCTGAAACAGCCAGGAAACACTTGGCACCTATGCAATCCTGAGCTTGTAGGAATCTGTTAGTTATCAAAGGGAGTTCAGTGAGTGACGGACAATGAACATTATTGAACTTTCCACCTGGTCAAAGAGGTGTTTTTTTTTTTTTTACTCAGGACCACTGAAATACTCATTTTGACTTGTTATTTCTCTCAAATAGCCACTTTAAACAGTTGCTTTGGAGAATTATATTGTTAATGAATTAATAAATTATTAGACTAAACGAATCCTATGTACCCACATTAGTGGAGATGCAGAATAAGAAGAGTTGAGATATTGTATGGATGTGGATTGGGCACCAAAGACCTTGGTCTTCCACTGACCATCAGTGTTGAAAGCCACTTACCTCTGGAATGTGTGTGTTTCACACATCAAGTGCAGGTATTAACTGATGATTCCTCTTTTTTTCCTGCCACATGAGATCTTGAAAGAAAATGTGTTATATCAATGTACTTGGAGAGTGTATCATCAGAAATCTGTTCATTCTCTTGTCATTCAAAACCTGTAAGATTGGGAAAATAAGCCTGGAATATTGTGACTCTAAGGCTTTATGGGCATAGATAGGTCTGTGTCTCTCTAGCTACAAGCTTCTTGATGGAAGTGGGCCAGTCATTTGCTTAAAAGATAACTCCATGCAGCCCTTCCCAGATTTATTGGATTGGTGACTTTCATTGCCTTTGTTTCTTCAAGCATCCGTTCAGACTAACAGCTTCTAGTCACAGAAGTATCAAGGCCGTTCACTGTGAATCAACTGGAAACACAGGGTCCTTTGGAACGGTTTGAAAACTAAATGACTCCTAAATTCAGGTCCTCACCAACTCTCTACCTTCTAAGCAATGTCCATAGAGACTGTTGGAAATGCCAAAAAAAAAAAAAAAAAAAAAAAGAAGAGGCTTACACAATCGGACAGCTTTAAGTCCTGGCACAGCATTTATCCTGTGAAATTTTCCACTGGTGTTTTGCATGGAGTCTCTAGAAAGATGACTGGAGGGAGAGCTGGCTAGAGACAACACTAACAGTGCCAGACCCGACCTTGGTTTAACAATCCCATTCCCAATATGAAACACCTTTCTGAATGGTTTGGTTTTCTCCTTTCTTTTGTTTCCCTGTCCTTAGAAACACTGTTCAGTAACTGAGCAGAATTGCAGACAGTGAGCAAGGGGGTGGTGAGTCATTTTACACATGGGAAGGCCCCCCGCCCCCTACGGGAAGGAAGCCAGCCCACAGTTGGGTGTTTGGGTGATCTTTGTTTGAGGTATATAATGAAGTTCATGGGCCATAAAGCAGTATAGAAATTTCCATCCCGAACATATTGCAAATGATTTTTGTACATTGGGAAGCTGAGTCCCAATTGAATCTTGAGGTTATTATTCTAAGGTCATCTTTCCATTTTTTTGTTTAGTATTACCATTTATCCAAAAGATGGAGGAACCTTAAATATACCCAGGAGGGGCATTCCTTCCGTCCTTCATAAGAATATAAATATTTTTGCAGTTTCTCTGGTTAATGCAGCTTTAAAGTAGTTCCAATCAGTTCTCCCCTAGCACACTAAGTACCTGATTTGTTAGTATTGAAATGAAATATTATTTCTTACAGTGACATTTATGTTGGAACTGCTTTAAAGAACATAAGCTATTACCTTCAAATAATTGTTATTAATATGATATTTTCTCTTCTGTTTTCCAGTCTATAGGCTAATTTTTTAAAAAAATTCTTTTGCTTTTGTTTCTTTGTGATATGTTCTCTGCTGGTAGGATTTATATTTAATGTGGAAATCCCACCCACTGAGAGACTTACTTTACCTATTAGGGACTGGACCAAAGCTATTGAGGCTTGTTGAGGGAAAAGCCAACAAGGAAAGATGCATCCTTTGGGGGCTCATTTTTTAGAGGCCTCTAGTCTATGGGGACAGCTGTATGTTGAGTGTTTGTGACCTGAGTTCACATACATGGTGTGTTTGCACATACAAAGGCATGTGGCTGGGCCCCAGGGACTGCTGGTGGCTTGGAAGGATGACATGAGTGCTTCCATCTAAGCAGGCTGTTGACTTGCTCGTTGGCAAATCCTGCTGACTTGTAGGACAGCGAAGCAAGTCTCAGAGAAGGCAGAAGATGGTGAGTCAGTTGAGGTTTGAAGGGTGACTCAGCTGGTGCTTCAAGTCTCCAGGCCAGTGATTTTCATCCAGGGAAAAATTTTAAAGGTCGTTAATTAAATTATTTTCATAAGCAGTTCAAAGCACAGTTAAGTATTTTTTCCATCTGTTTTTGGATGAACAGAGTTTAAGTGTGCTGCAAGGTTTAACTATAGGTTCAAGTGTGCCATGAGATTTTAAAAGGTTGAAAAACACTGTCTCTACCTGGAGCTTCCTCCCTGGATTGCAGCCCCTCCGTGCAATCGGTTCTCTCCACCCTCCACCCCGCTGCCTACCCACAGGATGTCCAGTGTTGTCTTTCACATAACAGTTCTAATAGTAAATCTGTTCAAGGCATTTCAGCGCTCACAACCTTTCCAAATGTCTTCATCATGTCTAGATAGAATCCCACTCTTGATCCTGACATATGAGGCCTTTTATAATATCTTCTTTTTTTATGTTCAGTAAAAAAAGTTTAGTACGCTATCAAGTAGGTATCATTATGAAAATGTGTAATTGTTGACAAACGAATCAATGAATAAGTGAATAAGTGAATAAGTAGCAGTTTCTAGGTGGTCAAGTGATTATCCTCTCTGTCATGGTTAACTAGAAAAGGGGAAGAAATCACTGTGGTCCACATGTGATCAGAGGCCATCCTAAGAGGAATATTTTATGGAATATTTGCAATGGGCGGAAATGGAAAATGCAGAGGTGGGAAAGGGGAAGGCATAAGACACACACGTGGTAGATGTTGCAGTCCACTCTCTGGATCCCTGGTTGGGACCAGGGTGCTGATTTTCCCTGGTTCTTCACAACTGTGTCCATCACCAGGAGTTGCCTGTAGCTGTAGGAAGCTGTCTTGCCCAAAGCTATGGCTCCTCCTTCAGGTAGCCTGTATCCAAGTGGCTAATCTGCTGTGTGGGGCGTACCTAGGCCTGGCCCCCTTGCTTCAGCTGGGATAACTCCAAAGGGCTATTCCAACTCTGCAGCTCCCTATAGGATCAGCTGGGACCCTGCTGCAGCTGCCTTGGGGTTTAATTTCCTTCTCTTCCCAATTCTGCTTTCTTCTTCACTCATGGGTATTGTTACAGCACCCCCCCCCCCAAATCCTTCTGCATGCAAATCTCAGAGTTTCAGAGGCTATTTCCTGGGGTAAACAACTTATAATAGTCTCAAAGGATTAAATTAGAAAATATAAACTTTGGCACTAAGCTCGTCAACTGTTGAAGATGGTTTGACAGGGATGAATTTTCATGCGGGGGAAATTCAGTCCCCTGAACTCAGCATTCCAGGCTCCCAGTGCTTTTTCATTTGCACTCTGCTTGCCTAGCTGTTTGGGGAAGGAAAGCCTCCTCACCCCCTCCTCACAAAGCCAGAGACTGCCGCTGAGGGAACAGTTGCTTGCAGTGGTCTAGGATGTAGGCTGGGCATATTCATTTCCTGTAGCTGCCATAACAAATTACCACCAACTGGATGTCTTGAAGCAGCTTAAATTTGTTCTCTCACAGTTCTGGAACCTAGCATTCTGAAATCAAGGTGTCAGAAGCACTTGTGCCTTCCCTGTAGCTCCTGATTTTGCCAGAAATCCTTGGTATTCTTTGGCTTGTAAACATGTAACTCCAGTCTCTTCTTCTGTGGTCACATGGCCTAATGCACCTGTGCCTCTGTCTCTCTGTGTTTCCTTTTTATAAGAGTAAAAGTAATATTGGATCAAGGGCCCCCACCACTCCAGTATGACCTTATCTCAACTTAACTACTTAAATCTGTAATGACCCTATTTCTGTATCGTATTTTGAGGCTCTGAGAAGGAGATCAACTGGGGGTTGGGGAGGACACAATTCCACCTAATACGTAAGTAGGCTGGTCATGCAGCAAAGTATAGAGTGTATAAAGTCAAGAGTGGTGGATGGTTCAATAGAGGGAGGGTTAATGGTGGGACCACACCTATGGAGCATATTACAAGGGTACAAGTCAAATCTATCAAGTATTGAAC